CCTCATTCCCTCATTCTCCCTCCCTCCCTCGGTCCCTGGGTAATCAATCCACATCCTCTAAAAATATATATTGACATCCTTGGCATGTAGTTTAGAATCCAAGGATGCAAAACCTTGCTAAATTTAGAGATTGTATCATTTTATATTGCTGTCATTTTCTCATTTAACAAAAACCAAGATATTTTCCACTTAACCTGTTGAACTACTGGAATAGCAGATTTCCATGCCCTTGCCAGTGTTTGTTTTTCTGCCGTGAATATATATATTACCAGAATAAATTGTTCTCTCCTACATCGTTCTGGCTTTCAATTTAACAATGCTTCCCATGGGTCTTTCCTTAAAGTGACATTAAACCCTCAGATTTTTTAACATAAAACAATACTGTAATGTGTGCCTTACTATAGTCCTTGGTTGTTTCCCTTCTCTTTGCTGCTCTTCCTTTTAAATCTGTATCTGTTCTCATGCTCTGCAGAACTTCTGTTTTGCAGCAGACTGCCTTGTCTCAGGAATGGATACACGGTGTCTGTGTATACGTTTGTATAGGCTTGTAACCTGAGCCAGCACTACATGAAGAGGCCCTGAGCTGAAAAGGGAAGTTCTCCCCAAGCATGAGAAGACAAGAGGATTTAAAAGGAAGAGCAGCAAAGAGAAGGGAAACTACCATGGATTACAGTAAGGCACACATTACAGTATTTGTTTATGTTAAAAAATCTGAGGGTTTAATGTCACTTTAACCTCCTTCCCAAAAGTTTAAAGAGATGTGATGTAAAATGGGGGCATTCTGATGTGAAAGGGGGGCTCCTGATTTGAGAAGGTACTGTGATGTGAAGGGGAACCCCAATTTGTTTTTGCGTGGGGTATTTTCTTTAAATCCATATCAGCCCACTATCTGTGATTCGGGTCTGGTATCGATTTTTGCATTCTTACATTTACGGTTTTTACATTTTAGAGTGGGGTGCCAGGAGAACTTGCATACATTTAGGGTGCCTAAAAAAAGGTTGAGGAACGCTGGTATACTGGTATGCATGTACATGCTAAGAGATGGGGGGCTCCTTAGAGACAGTAAGTTCCATAAGTTCCATATAACTGGAAGAATATCATCCAAGAGGCCAACATTCTATAGCAAAGGTCATACTAGTCTTTTATCCTATGGATCCATTCTTCAATTTCCCTTATCTGGATAACTATGGCACACCATTCCTGTGTAGTGGGCACTCTGTTTGTTTTCAAATTTTTATGTATGTTTTTTTCCTAGCTTCAAAAAGTTTATGAATGGAGAAAAAATGTAGATGGTGCATTTATCTGTGTGTAATTTAGCTAGACATATAGTGTAATTACATAATTGCATCTGATTCAAGGATACCTGTGATGGAGGAAATGTGTAGGCTACCATAACTCACCCTCTTCTGACAATGCCAGCTACCTGGCGGTCATGCTCTCAATATTTTCACTAATCCCTTACAACAATGCTGATTATAATTTGTGACCTTACATGCTCAGGTGTGTGGTAGTCCTCAGGTTTCCTTTAAGGGTGTTATAGGGATTGATGTCGGTGCAGACCTCACCACACACAGATGATTAGATCAGAGGCCCCAAGCAGGGCACACAATCAATAAAGTGACAGCTTTGTTATATTAGATGGAGCAAGTGATTAACAGAGGATTGCTTGTCAGAGGAGGTCAAATTGTTGCAATATTACATTGTGGACAAAATGGACTTCACAAAAGATGCTCTAATGGGCAACAGTCTTTCTTTGAAGCTGAAGTCTAGAAAAAGATTCCAGGCATACAGCACCAGTCACATAATTTACTATTAATGAAGTACAGTATATTCCATGTCTGGCTGGCTTCTGGTTACTTGAAAAACCCTTCTTATGTCAGTCTTGCAATGCCTCATGGGACTTCTAGTTCCACAACAGCTGGAGGGCCGGAGTTGCCCACCACTGACCCTGCAGCTTCTAGGTGTAGAGC